GAGGAGCGCATGCTGCCGTGCGAGAAGCTCAAGGAGCTCGGTGCTCTCGGGCCCGGCGAGATCTTCCGCGCGTGCCCAGGAAAAGGGTTTTGCGTACACGGAGAGCATGTCGGCCATGAACGCGGACGACTTTCTGCCGATTCATATTTACGTGGTCGTGCACTCGGGGCTCCAGCGGCCGTACTTTGCCAAGGAATTCCTCGGCGCCATGATCCACCGTCCAAAATGCTGGGCAAACCGGGTACTTCCTCACCATGTTTGAAGCCGCGCTCAAGTACGTGACCGAGAGCATGTCGGATCCGTAGTCGCTCGCGGAATCGGTAGCCTTTGTTATAACCGAGTAACGCAGACGGCAATGCCACGCTCCGCAATCGCACGCGCTCGTGCAGGGGCTCGTGCGACGCTACTAGGCTCACAGATTGATACTTTGATACATACAGGATTGTATATCGAATAGGGAATAGGACCCCACTTTGCCCCAAGTCATCAACACCGAGACGAAATGCACACGGAGTGCTGGCCATGTTTCTTCAAAAGACCAAAGACAAGACGGTTCTTAGAGGCACCTTAGAGCTGGGCCATCCACTCCTGCAGCGCGTCACCGGCCGACTCGTACCGGCGCGTCGTGTCCTTGAGCTGGTGCATGTAGTAGATCCCGAGGTAAAACTCGTCAAAGACCATGCGGGAGGCGGCGGTGCTGCCGCGGACCGCCTTGCGAACATGAGCTCGCCGTCTGTGCGGCACGACTCCTTGTCGAGACCCGCAATCTCGGTGAGGAAGCGGCAAAACTTGGCGACCGTGAGGCTGATGCGACCGTCGTCGCCAGCGTCGCCACCGGTCGCAAAGTAATCGAAGAGCGGCCAGAGGACCGTCTCGACGTCGGCGCCGACGTAAATGGGCTTTTGGCGCCGGCCGCCGACCTGGAATCGGCTCCAGTCGACGTCGTACCATGCTTTTTGCAGCTTCTCGCGCACTGACATGGGTGTTTGGCACACAGTGTACGAGTGCAAGACGCACGCGCCAAATACCTGGATGAACCCGGGGAGCGACAGCACCTTTTCATTGTGCTGCGTCACGACCCCAAAGACCTCGGCGACAACTTCCGACGTAAACGCACTCGGGACGAGCTTGAGGTCTTGAAAACACTGGAGCGCGCCCTGAAGGTGCATGGCAACAGCGTGCGGCTGCGTCGCGGCCAACGTCGCCTGCAGTTGTCGTTCGAGGGGTCTCCAGTGCGGCGCTGGCGCCGGTGTCGGTGAGTTGAGGTGATGCGTTGCATACTTGACAAAGAGGGCCACCAGTGGGCGCTCGTAGGCCAAGATGAGGTCGCCCACTTGTGGCAAGTCGTACCTACGTCCATCGTGAGATTCGACGACTTTATATGTGCACGTGGCGACCAGGCGATGCACGGGTCGGTCGAAGGGAGGTCGATTTGAGGCACAGCCTCGCTGGGGTACGCGTGCTTGAGACTGGCTTTCTCGAGGACTGCGCGCTCGACGACGGCGGTCTCGTGCTCGAGGACGGCGAGGAGCTTTTCTTGGTTTTGTAAAATGTCATCGCTGAGCTTGTTCTGCCGCGCCCACGACGGCTCGGGATTCTCATCCGGTGCCAACAAGTGCCGCCAAAAGCCGTCGAGGCGATCTTGCAGTGCCGGGTCGGCCGCCTCGTTTCGCATCGCCTCTAAATAGTCGTGGAGACCATTGACAAACGCTGGCAGCGTCAGCGGGGCCGCCGAAAAGTAGCTTCCGAGTGGCGCGAGGACGTCGAGGGTGTCGGTGACGGCGCCCGCCGGTGCGAGCGTCGACTGGACGAGCTCGTAGCAGCTGTCGAGCGACATCCGCGGCGTCCAGCCGTCGTTCGTGGGGGCGTCGGCGTGAATACCGAAGAGCTGTGTGAGCCGATCGACGACGAGGTCCTTCCCGAGCTGTACAAGGCTTTGCGGAAGCGCCCACGCCGCGCCGACGGTGCAAAGTGCTGTGAGATGCGTCGCGAGCGACGCGTTCGCGGCTTCGATTTCCGCCACGCGCGCCTCTTCCCGAAGGAGCTTCTTGGAGAGTGCCTCGACTGCAATACGTGTGTCATGGGTGACAAACTGGTACCGCTCGACGTCCGCCAGTAGCACCTTGTTGTACTGGTCGAGAGACTTGGCAAACTTGGTCTGGTCGTCAAGGGCGGCCTCGAGCGTGGTGACCCGGGCGTCGAGCCACTTGGTGGCTTTTGACAGCGTAGCTGCTGCCCGCCACTGGAGCAACCAGCGGCGAATGCCGGTCGCCCGATCGATCTGACGCATAACGTACGCCACAAACCCATGCTTGCTGAGCTGGAGCTCGCCCCGGAGCTGCGTCATGACATCGGTTTGCTCGGTCAACCGGTGCTCGAGCTGCCGCGTCGACTCTTCGATCTTGGCCTTTTGCCGAGAGAGGGCAAAGACGCACTCTTTTGCTTCGTGGAGCTCTTGCACTTGAGCCGACGCTGTCGCGATGGCTGACTGCAGCACATTGCCCTGCGTCGCGCCCCGCCACGTGGTCAGCGCCCGCCGGGTCGAGTCGAGGAAGCGCAGTTGCATCCACCGATCGAGTCTGCGCATTGCGTGGAGCCGATGGCGGTTCTGGACCGTAATGTGGTGACTCTCCGCCCGCCACCGCCGAAACGACATACCCAAGGTCTGCATCCGCCACTGCTTGGAGTGCGCTTCCATGAGGAGGAGCATGCACTGCAGCGACGTCTCACGGGCGTGGCGTCGGTACTCCTTGACCATCGTCGTCGCCATGGCCGCGCGGTGCTCGCCGGCCTGGAGCTGTCCCGAGCTGCGTAGGCAGTGCAGGCCTCGGTCCATGCTATGCCGCTTCTCTGCGTGGGCAAAGAGGATCATGGCCATCTTGTTGGTTGCGAGTCCCAAGCGCGCTTGCTGCCGACGTACCGCCGTCACCAAATGCGTAAACGCCCGTCGGAGCACCGAGGTCGTAGCATGGTCCAAGATGCGGCGAAGCGCCCGCGTTTGTAGTTGGCGCCGCTGCTTGGTCCAGTGCGCTTGGGCCTGCAGCAGCTGCGATTGGCTTGCCTCCATCGCCGCCGCCGAGTCCTGCAATGCTCCGACGCTAGTTTCGAGCGCCTGAATGTACGCACGCAGCTGCGTCTCGTTGGCCGCGTGTGCAGCGACCGACTCTTCCAGATGGGCCACTTTGGTTTCATACGCGGCGTTGGCCAAGTGCGCGGCTTCGAGCTCGGCCTTGAGCGTCTTGGTCTCGCCCAAGTAGGACGCAAAGGACGCGAGCTTGAGGTCGATTGTGTGCAGGAGAGTCTCGCCCTTGCGTGGTTCGTGGACGATGTGGGCCGTCGGCAGCGACACGCGCTTCACCGGCGCGATGCTCATCGCCGCGACGCTGCCGTTGGCATGCAGCGTGTGCCAAAGCGCTTGGCGTTGCGACTCACCGAGGCTCTTGTGCTGCTCCGGCACCGACGAGAGGCTTTTTCGGACGTATCGGGGCTTGGTCTCGTCGACCTCGTGGACCGTCGCCAGCACGCCCTTCTGTGACACGAGATGGTCCCACTCGTGCTCGTCGTCGTCAGTGACACTGACGGTCGTGACGGCGTCGCCGGACGGCAGGTCGCGAACGCTTGGCAGCGTCGTGTAGCGCGCGGCAGTAGCTGACGTTGCGCTCGTAGGTTGCACTGGCGATGGCGGCGCCAACGTCGGTTCCGTTATCGCCGGAGGCATCGGCGGCTCCGCGTGCGGTAGCGACGCGAATGGGTTACCAGCGTCTGTCACCAGTGTTGGTGCGGCGACGGGTGCTGCAACTGGAGGCAACCGCCATTCGTCGTTCGAGGCCAAGATGTTCTGCTCCGGTGTCTTGACGACCGCCTTTGGCGCTGGCTCCGAGAAGAAGAGGTCGTCGAACGCCGAGTCAAAGTCCACGTCGCCGTCGTCGTCCGTGCTCATCGCCGCGACCTTTCGCCACTGGTCGGTTCCGCTGCATTTTATTCCATTTGCATACAAATTCCAAGAGACCAACGGCGTGTATTGTTTTGAAATTACGCTATCGACGTCGCCCACTGCCGGTTTCAGGCTCAGGCAGCAAAACTCCGCGCCAAAACCACGCAGACGACGGCGACCGCCGACGACCCGACGCTCGATGCCGTCGACGGCGGAGCCGTTGTCGCCTTAGACGGCGGTGTCTTTGTGCTACCGCCCGGCCCAGTCGTCGCGTTACCTGGCGCCGGCATCGTCGTACCATTGCCAGGCGCCAGCGTCGTTCCCTGCATCGTTGTTGTCGGCGGCATGGTCGTCACTGGCGTCGTCGTGACAGGCAGTGTCGTCGTCATTGGCGTCGCTGTCTGGCTCACGTTGCTCGTGCTCGTACCGTTGTCCGACGGCGTGCGAACGAGACTCGCCGGAACGAGCATGCCCGGCACATCCAGTGTCGACGAAGCGTTGGTCGCCGACGGCGCGCTGCAGCGAAAGGCCACGTACGGCGACGCCTTGGCCCGCACGCAGCACTGGCGCACCGAGAGCTGACCGCCTGCGTTGTACGCGTGCAGAACGTACACGAGGCCGTCACAGCAGCCCTCGATGAGCGGGTCGTAGCACTTGGCGCGGCCTTGGTTGCCACAGAGCATTCCTTCCTGGCAACTTACGACCATCCCAGCAAACACAGCGTGGAGGTAGACGACGCTCAGGAGAGCAAAGGCACGGAGCGAGGCTGGCATGGAAGCGAACAGTTGAAGAATGAGGTTGGTGATTGAGGACCTTGATCGTGCCGTTGATATCGGTGTGCGCGCTGAAGCCGTTGGTCGAGCACATTCCAGCTCAACGCCCACGTGTAGCAGCTGGTCGTGTTTGCTGATGTTGCTTGGGTCTGTACCCGTCAACCGAGTTCTAAGTGTTTCTTATTTGACTAGAGTTGATGTGTACCTCCTGGCAGTTTTAGTGTTGCCTTAGACCAGTCTTTCGATGCTCAGAGCCAATAGCTTCAACATGTGCATAGGGTAGGTATTGTATCAACATTTCTGAGAGAATATCAATGAAAGAGTATCAACCAAGCGTGCTCGTATCAATCGCTACAACGATTAGCGCCACGGATGGCGCAGGAGAGCGTGGGCAGCCAGTGAGAGCGCAGTGTCGTGCCACGTGTTGATTTTTCCCACGGGAAATTCGTAAATCTCGACAAAGGCGGGCGCTTTGCGCTGCGTGAGCGGGTGGTTGTAGATGAGCGCCCGCTGCTCTGCGGCGGCGCTGGGAAATCGCTGATCGTTCTTGCGCGCTTCGCGTAGGAAGAACCGAGCGAACGCTTGGGCAGCCAATATCGCGTCGTCGCTGTGGTCAATCGCCTCGTAGGGCGAGCCGTTGACACGCATGCCATACTCGTACGCGTGCTTTTCCGGGTGGAACTGCACCCCGTAGATCGGGTACTTCTGGCTCTCGATCGCCGCCACGTACTCGACGCCAGCGCGGTCGACCGAGGTTGCTAGGACGCGAAAGGCGGACGTGAGCACCGGCGTTGATGCGAACCGGGTCGTTGTGATGCCTTTCCGGTGGTTGTTCATCGTCAGCGGTCGCGTCGCCAGAGCCGCGAATGCACTCGGCTGGAACGAGAAGACGCGACTCGTCGCAGCCGCCGGCGTGTACTGGAGCGTCGACGAGAGGTTCATTGCGTTCAGGTCTGTATTGAGAATGCCGATCGACGAGGTGAGTTGCACGAGCCACTCGAAGCCGAGGCACGTGCCCCAGATGGGAAAGTACGTGCCTTGGTCGTTCGCCGCGAGTGCGAGCGCGTAGACGCGGGCGGCTTGGTCGTTGACTGGTGCTGCGCCACCCGGGAAAAGCACGCCGTTGACGCTACTAAGAAGCGCGTCGATCGTGTCGTTGGAGGCCGAGTATGGAATCGGGACGACGCGGCCACCGGCGCTTTCGATCCACTTGACATAGGACGCAGCGATGTAGTCGACGTCGCGGCCATAAAATGGCTGCGTCATGACACCAATGATCGGGCGCATCGTGGCGCCCGTCCATGGCACGAGGGCTGCGAGGAGCCACAGCAAGTGCAGCATCGTCGTCGTTCTTCGCAGCCGCAAAAGTGCGACCACCTATCACCAGTAAGAGCGTGATGCCATTGGTGCGTCAATAATAAAGAAGGTCATTTCCGCCAATCAGATCAATTGTTGGACTATCCCAGTCAATACCATGTCAGTCAATCGGGCAGCGCGAGAGGTAGCTGGTCGCTAATTCGGCTGCGCACCTCTCGACTCGAAGAATCATGTATGGAATCGTTATTTGCCGGATCCAGCGCAGACACCCAGAGACCGGCGCCTCCGGAGAGCTGCTGTGGAGTCGAGTTCGCAGTTCCACTAGCTCTGCGCCCACTCCCGGCCCATGTACTAGTACCGCCAACTTGAATGTCAACGTCAAATCAAACGACAGCGATATCCGGATATTTTTCCCTGGAAAAGGAGGGTGGTCAGCACTCATCACAGCACCGCCTTCTCGAAGTTTCAAGCGGCTACTGGTTACGGCGCTGAGGTGCGTTCGAAGCTGCAAGAGTTAACATACCCATACGGTTGCTTGACCATATTCCTTGGCGCCAATGCGCTCGTCAGCAAGCATACACGACAGAGAAACTCCACCGCTCTCCGAGGTTCAGTGCTCGCTGGTGATGCCACGTTTGTTGACACAGTTCAATGCCTCGGCCAATCAAATGCAGGAGGGTCCGACATATTAGCCAATCCAATGCAGTTCAATAAATCAGCCAGCGTAACATGCTTCGGGACCATTCCAGGGATCGTCGATGTTCGAGGTGAGCGCACTGACGCCGGGACCGCTGCTGTTCCAGTCGTGGACGCCCGTCATCGTCTCAATCGATGGCCAGCGCCTGCGCGTCGACTACGGCGCCTCGCACAAGTCGTTCGATACCACTGGTTGCGCTGCCCATGCTATCGACCCGCCTTTCCTCGTCGAGATTGCCTTTTCCAACAAGAAGAAACTTTTGCTTGACATGGGCTCACGGTCGCTACGGACGCAGCTCATTGAGCGACTGACCGCTACGGCAACGTCGACCGCCTCCACGGACACCGCCGATAGCGTCCATGATCAGCTACTCAGCGTCGCCGCCGCCATCACCGACCGCGCGGCCGTCGCCAAGAAGTCGGACCTTCGACCATGTAACGTCTCGGTCGCTGATGTCCACGCCCACCTGTGCGGCCTCAAGGATGTCTATGACCACGTAGCAGGGCTGCCGTCGCCACTGGCCCTCTACGACTGGCTTCTTGACACGGAAGCCGCCTACGTCGATCGTCACCGGGACCTGCACGGATCAGCGCGCCCCGACGTGTACGCCCACACTGTGTACCAGCAAGATCCGCTGAGCTACGCGCTCGGGACAACGTCGTCGGCGCGCCGTCCAGACGTCAACTCGTACATCGGCGTCTGCTCGTACTGCAAGACAGAGTACGACCGCGCGCTCCTCCCGGTGATCTACGTCACGGACGGTGCGTGGCCGTGTCCCACCTGCCACGAGACCATCACAGCCGACGTCTACTTCAAGAACCGCTTCGACACGATGGCGTTCGACGAGCCACTGCGCCGAGTCCTCGCGCCATGTCCCACGCGGCGCTGCCCCGGTCGCTTTACGCGACCTGAGATGCAGCGCCTCCACCTCTTTGACAAACCCGCTATTTGCGCCGCCTGCAAACGCTCCGCCTTGTACGAGACGTACCAGATCGCAACCCTCGTCCGCGAGCACCCGTCGATCCGCTACCAGAGCGTCCGCAACGCCGACGGCACGTACATCAGCCTCATGCCCACGCAACGAGAGATGCCGGTTGACGGACTCTGGTCGACCTACCTCCATGAGCTCCACGCCTCTCTGCACGCGCGGCGCCACGGCCACGCAAAGCCGCGACTGCAGATGTTTGAAGTGAGCACGTACATGGTCGAGCTCGAGAGAGCCGTCACCATGATCCGAGCCCACGACAACGGCGCGTTTCCCATCGACCTCGTCCGCGCCATGCACCGCGACCTGCGCTTCGTCGCCAAGATCGGCCCCATGACACACTACTGGTCCAATCCAACCGTCGTCGCCGCCGCCATCCGCCGCTACGAGCAGTTCATGCACCTCTCCAAGACCCACAAGCATCTCGTCCCGACCCTCGATATTGCGCTTCTCTGGCGCGTGCACATGACGCAGCACGTGGCCTACTGCGCCTACTCGCGCGCGATTACCAAGAAGGTGTTGTCGCCGCAATGGAATAGCTACGACGACGCGGCGTACGTCAAGACGTGTGTGGCGTGGGACCAAGGGCGTACCGGGAGCCGTACTCGTCG